GTCTGCCATGGCGGGTGGGTGAAAGACCCGAGCTAACATGGGGTTAGCTCGTAAAACTACAATAAAGCCTCATGCAGTTTGCATCAAGCTTTCGCCTCCATTCTGTGTTTGGGGTGGCCGCCGTCCTGGGCTAAGATTCTGGAAGCCTCAGCTTTCTGAGGGTCTTACATTTACACCCGTATTATCTTACAATCTTCCCCCTTTCCCACTGTCCTTACTTAATGTCAAACCCACTATCATCTCGTAACTGAACAACTATAACAGCATCTTCACCCTGAATGCACTGATGTTCCCTTCTAAAATATTTATCATATCAATGGAAGAGTTAACTACCATCCCACCCTGTACTTGCACTCACATGACCAGCACGATGGCACTATAGCAATGGCACACTTACTTATCCCATCTCACCCCATTTGCCTGTGACGTTCCAACCACAGTGATGACTGTCGCGTTCCCAGGTCTTTTGTTTTGTTTTGTTTTCTGAGACAGGGTTTCTCTGTGTAGCTTTGGAGTCTGTCCTGGAACTAGCTCAGTAGACCAGGCTGGCCCTGAAGTCAGAGATTCACCTTTTCTCTGCCTCCAGGGTGCTGGGATTAAAGGCGTGTGCCGCCGCCACAACCACCCAGCTATTGTTCCCAAGTCTTATCTGATACTGTCTTCTTCACACAGAAGGCTTTCTGCCCCACAGTCTAGCTAACTTGCACTCAGCAAATGGGTTGTCCTCTAAGTAAACATTCCTAACCTAATCCTCAGACCAAGTTTCCCCAGGTAAAAAACTTCAACACTCTGATTCTTTTGGTTCAGAAAGTTTATCCCATTCCTTAGTGTTCTTTTCCATTTTCTCTACAAGATAATACTGAGATATCAGTTACCTTCTCTCCCACCCTACATTATTGGCAAACTGAGCACATGCCTTAAGTACCAGGTACTCAGAAGGCTGAAAGAGGAAGATAGATTGAACTTGTTCAAGACCAGCCAGGGTGACATCAGCAGCTGAGAGCCCTACTGCCCGGTTCCCAGTACATGTGGTTCTCCCAACCATCCACAACTCAGTTCCAGAGGATCCAGTGACCAGGCGTGCACATGGTACACAGACATATATGAGGCAAAGCACTCAGAAAATACATCGTTTTTACAAAAGCACAAAACAAAACAACCCATAAAGGAAAGCATAGCACATAACTTGATATATCACAGGAAAGCAGTGAAGATACAATGAAGGATGAACAATGCAGGTAATAAAGGAAAAATTATTTAAACCTTAAACACAATTCTGAACAAACTAATACTGACCTGGTGTTTTCATTGTACTCAAAAATCTGAACCTTGGCCATTGCGTTTGGACTGCTGTCATCACTTCCCACGGCGATCATGGGGGAGTGAGCACGAGAGCTAGAAATGAAGGGGACACTCTGTAAAGACAGAAGATGCTGAACTAACCGTATCAGGGAGACACGTAACCTACAAGTCAGCCTGTCATCACTTCCACAACTGGATGTCCACCATGGCGTGTACTTTGAGACCTGACTCCCTGCCCGCCCTTCAGGACTTCTCTTTAGCACCCTTTCTATGGCTGAAATAGAAGGAAGCCATCTTCCAAGAGGGCAGATAAAAATCATCCACCATACCTTTCTTCCTAAAAACATTATCAACAGGAAAAATGTAGTTCTTTATTAGTAAAGCTTACTAAAGCTCTGTTACTACAGCTTCACATAATTAGATCCACTAATTAGAAAAACTCAGATACACTACAAAGAGCTATGGTAATAGCATAAAGGTAAGGAAAGATTATTCTATGTAAGTAACAGCTTCATGAGTGTGTATAACAAATATTCACACAACCTGGCTGCTAGATAAATTTTAGAGCCAACTGGTGATCTAAAATTTATACATGCTATATACACCTATATACATGCTAAATATTCAGAGAACCCAAATGTTATAAATACTTATGTAACAGAAAGGAATAGAAAGGATAAGGCTCAACATGAAACAGAAGAAAATAAACTCACATTCTCTCCCTCTCTTCCTCCCCTCTCCACTCTCCATATTCTTCGCCCTCTCCCCACAACTCTGTTTTACAAGACAGGGTTTCTCTGTGTGTAGCCCTGACTATCCTGGAACTTGCTGGCTTCAAACACACAGAGACCCACCTGCCTCTGCCTCAGGAGCACTGGAATAGGAGTATGCCACCACTGCCTGGCTAACTTTCTCTTTTTTTAAGAGAGGAACCTTTGAGGCTGGATAGACAGCGAAGGGGTTAAGAGTACCAGATGCTCTTCCAGAAGACCCATGTTTGATTCCCAGCACCCACATACATTGTAGCTCACAATGATCTGTAACTCCAGTGCCAAGGAAGCTAATGCCTTTTTCTGGCTTCCACAGCCACTGCATGATAACAAACATACAAGGAGGCAAAACACCAATATACATAAAATGTTAAAAAGTTTAAAAGGAATCATATAATCCAAGAACTAACAAATCAATAAGTACACATAAATTTAAAACTGCAATTACCAACATAACTATAAAGATTATCACAAATAAAATACCTACTGATCATTTATGAATGAATGAGCAATGATTATCTATCAGTAATTATAAACAGTTTAGTTCTAAAGAACCAACAGTATAAACCATCTGCATATTTAACAGTGGTTACCAGAATTAAAATCTAGCAATTAAACTAGTGACAGCTTTTTTTTTTTAATTATTTTATTTTATGTACATTAGTGTTTTGCCTGCATGAATGAATGTCTTTGTGAGGGTACTGGATCCCCTAGCTCCAGGAGCTATGGACAGTTGTGAGCTGCCATGTGGGTGCTGGAAATCGAACCCAGGTCCTCTGGAAGAGCAGTCAGTGCTCTTAACCACTGAGTCATCTCTCCAACCCCAGCATTTATTTTTAGAAAGAGAATTTTCAGTTTATTCTCTACTCTTCTAAATATATTTGCATTTTTTTCTTACCAAGGGATTAAATAAATAAAAAGCAAATCGGGGGAGCTGGAGAGATGGCTCAGCAGTTAAGATCACCTGTTGCTCTTCCAGAAGACCCAAGTTCAATTCCAAGCACCAATATGGTGACTCACAATAGTCTGTAACCCCAGTTCCAGGAAACCCAACACCCTCTTCATGCCTCCAAGGGAACCAGACATACATGTGATACACTGACATATATGCAGGCAAAACATCTATAGACATAATATAAGATTTTAAAAAAGCTTTTAAAAGTAACCATGGCATAGTCATACAATCACACTCAATACGGAGCATTTAAACTGGAATGATGTTTAAACAGGTATGGTGACCATATTATTATTATTCCAGCCCTTAGGAGGATGATGTAGGACACTACCAGTGTTGGCTGGTTACACAGCAAGGCAATCTCTCAAATAAATGAACTGTTTTAAAAGATATCCTAAAAATTATATACTAATATGTGAAGAAATGCACACAAATTTTTTTTCTGTGAGAAAAGGAATTTCAAGGAAAATACATGAGTTTTATAAATGTAAGGGTATATCACTTTGTGTTGGTGTGTATCTAATTATTTTTGCATATGTCTATCTCTTAGGAATACCCTAATTTATTTTTATATACATAGAAAATGTTCCAAAAGTTCTCACCAAACTATTGATAATGGATGGATGGGTTCGTGTGTGGAGTGAAAATAGAGATAAGATACATGCCCAGATAGTAAAGGAGAAACTTCCTTCTAGATAAATATCTACTTACAAAAAGCATCTGAGAAATTAAACCAAGAAACTCTTAGCTTAAAAAATCACTCACCTGTTTTAGCAGAATTATCAAAGGTTTTGAAAGGTTTAAGCTTTAATGCTGATCGACACTATCTCTTTAAGAGACAGAACCGCCCCCTGACAAGAGTCAGGGCATGCACAGGAAAACGTGCTACGT